CTCCAGCCCAGGCGAGCTGACTTCGCCACCGTCGCCGCCTCCGTCTCGGCGCTGCGGTGGGGGCTCCCGAAGTTGCCACAGATCATCCCGGCCGAGAAGAACCGCGGAGCCCTCGCGCGTGGGCTTTTCTCCGGGCAGAACCCTGACGGAGCAGGTGCCACGGAGCGCGCCCAGCGCCTCCCGGGAAACAATTAGTCGGGATTCGCTCCGGCAACTGGGTGGGGAGGGGCGCGTCGGGACCTGCGGGGGAGGATGGCTGAGTGTTGGCTCCCCACGTGCACCTCCTGTCTGTTCTCTCCCGGGGCCTTCAGACCCGGTGCACGTGAGGGAGGCGGGGGGGTAGGGGGGGGCAGAGAGAGGGCGCTGAGGCAGCGGGTGCAGAAAACAGGTTCCGGAGCTGCGGATGGGGTCTGGGGAGCCTCTCTGCAAACCTTCCGGTTCTGCAGGGCAAATGCTGCCACATAGGGGAAATTCCTAATTATTTTATTTCCCTTGGATGCCTTTCTGGGTGGTTTTGTCAAAAGCCCTCTTCTGCATTCCTAGTCCCATTTCGGGCCTCTCCCACGGTTTCTCCAGGACCCTTCCCCACCCACCCCCATCCCAACCCCATTCTCTTAAGAGAAAAGCTGGGCTTTGTGTTCTACGCGCGCTGCTTGCAGGGAGAGAAGTCCTCCTCCCTCTCTGTGGCACCTCCTCCAGACCCCGGCCTTCTGGGTACAGATCTCCGGGTTGTCTCACTTCCATCCAGGAATGCTATTTATAACTAGATGCAAAGTCATGAAATCAGATGACGGAACCTCTGATTTATAGCAAAGGAGCCCCGCAGGCTGTGACGCCCCCCGGTGTGCTCACACTCTCTCTGAGAGCCCACAGCACCCTTCCATACACTCAACAGGGGTCCCAAAGGAGGAGAGGGGAACTTCCTGGAACAGCCCTCGCTCAGGTCCTGGGAGCCAAAGTTCCAGAACCCACTTCCCTGATAAGGATCGTCTGCCCTTGTCACCTCGTGCAGCCCCTCTCACCTCCCATAGTCCTAACCCCAGGAATCCCCACTGGAAGCCATCAAGGGGCTAGCACTGCTCATTAGGAGAGAGGGCTTTACTTTCGTGTTCTGCTCTCTGCCCTATTTTTCTGGATATTTCTGTGTGCGGGCCACTGTCCCACTTGGCCCTTTCCAGTGTGGCCCTGGGGACGATGAGAGAATGAGAACAAGCAGGTCAATTCCAGCTCAGGCAGCGGAGGTTGAAGGAAGGAAGCCGACCAAGAAGCGGGCTGCCCACTCCAGAAGCTGAGCAGAGAGAGTAAGAGATAAACTGATGTCCGCCTGAAAGGATTTTCCATGTCTCCTGGGATTCAACTCAAGCCCAGGAGGATCTGTCTGCCTTGATTCTGTGTTTTCGCCACAGTGGGTACTTTTTCCCAGGCACTTTCCTGGAGCCTAATACATTTACAGCTAACAGTAATATCACGCATCTTGAGGAAAACGGAATTCCTCACGTTTAGTTAGGCCTTGTGAATGGGACACCATAACCCAGTTCTGCTGAGAGGCATGCCCCTCCCTCTGCAGTTTTTTTAAAATATATTTTTATTGATTTCAGCGAGGAAGGGAGAGGAAGAGAGATATAGAAATGATGAGAGAGTACCATTGATCAGCTACCTCCTGCACGCCCCCTCGTGGGGATGGAGCCCGCAACCCTGGCATGTGCCCTGATTGGAATCGAACCTCCTGGTTCATGGGATGACGCTCAACCACTGAGCCACACATGGCTGGCTCCTCCGCAGTTTTTTAAATAAACCTCAGCAGGAGCAGCTTTTAGTCGCTTTGAACAGTTTATTGATCTCAGACATCCCAGGATCCCTAGACATCCCAGTGACCCCACAACAGGAAAATGTGGTCTGGGTAAGAGCCTTAGAGCTCTATCTTAAAGTCTCTGTATAATTAGTTGGTCCTGTGGGATGGGGCTTTTAGCATGTTCCATTAAAAAAATAAAGCAAGACATATGTCCCGTCAAAGCTTTGCTGCATCGCACCCATTAGCAGTAACAAGGGCTAACCTCAGCAAGGTCATAAATCTTCCCAGATAACTGAGCACTTCAATCTTCCTCCTATACGTGCATTTCTTGAGTGGGGACTCTATAAGTGCATTTCTCCAGTGGAGACTTTGAATGTGTCAACCTGTTAGGCTAAGGTCACCTTCATAGAGTTGGCCCGGCAACAAAGGGACTACATGACTGTGGTCATTGTTGGGATGTTGTAATGGGACCTGTACTCGGTGGAAGCAGCAATGAGACTTGGTTTACCCAATGCCTTATCCCATGTCTGCCCTGCCCTTCTGAATGGCCACCCTCCACAGTTCCCCCAGGAGCCTGGAGCTCCTTTGATCATTCCTTTGTCTCTGTGCCCTCTCCGCTGAATGTTGGAGAGCCTTGGGGCTCAGCCTCCCCTTGTCTCCCAGCCACACTCACTCCTAGGTGTTCTCACCCAGCCTAGTGGTTTCAGCTACTGTCTGTATGGATGATTCTCAACTGTGTGTCTGCAGCCCAGCCTCTCATTTGAAGCCCAGGCTTACATACCCAACTTTTTTTTTGGGGGGGGGGGAGCATCTTAAGTGTAATATGGCCACATCATCAAAATTAAAGACATCTGCACTTCAAAGGACACCACAGGAAGTGAAAAGACAACACACAGAACCAAAAAAAAGTGTGCAAGTCATATAACTAATTGAAACTTGTACTTATAAAACTTGAACTTATATAATGTGTAAGTTATAAAAACAATTATAACTTAATAATAAAAGACAAATATAGCCCAATTTTAAAATGGGTAAAGTCTCTGAGTAGACTTTTCTCCAAAGAAAAATATACAAGCAGCCAATAAATATACGAAAAGATGTTCAACTTCATTAGCCACCTGGGAAATGCAGATCAAAACCATAGTGAGCCTGGCGTGGCTCAGTGGTTGAGCATTGATCTATGAACCAGGAGGTCACAGTTCGATTCTCAGTCAGGGCACATGCCCAGGTTGCAGGCTCAATCCCTAGTGGGAGGCATGCAGGAGGCAGCCAATTAAGGATTCTCTTTCATCATTGATGGTTCTATCTCCCCCTCTCCCTTCCTCTCTGAAATCAATAAAAATATATATATTTTTTATAACCATAATGACAAATCACTTCCACCTACTATGGGTGGCTAAAATAAAAAAGACATAATAAACATTGAGAAGGAAGTGGAGAATTTAGAACCCTCATATACTGCTGGTGAGAATGTGGAATGGCTCTTCAGACAAAGTTACCATGTGATCCAGCAATTCTACTCCTGGGTACATATACAAGAGAAATGAAAACATATATCTGTACACTAAGTTGTACATAAATGTTCACAGCAGCATTGTTCCTAATAGCCAAAAAGGAAAAACAGCCCAAATATCCATCAACTGATCAAGGCATAAATAAAATGTGGTATATTATACAATAGAATATTTTTCAGCAATAAAGAAAAATGAAGTTCTGATACATGCTACAACATAGAGGAACCTTGAAAACATTATGTTAAGTGGCCGAAGCCGGTCACAAAGGACCACATAGTACCATATTATTCCATTTACATGAAATGTCCAGAATAGGCATATCTATCAAGACAGAACGTGCTTGCCCGGGGCTGGGGGATGGAGGATTAGCAGGTGAGGGCTAACGAGTACAGGGTTTATTTGGGGGGTAATGAAAATGGGCTAAAATTGATTATGGCGACAGATGCAAAACTCATGGATAATCACAACATACTAAAAGCCATTGACTCCTACACTTTAAATGGGTGAACTGTATGATATGTGAATTGTTTCTCAATAAAACTTTCTCAAAAACTTCCTCAATGATCATGAAAAAGGATCTAATATGACTAAATAAGAACTCTTGATTTTTCCCTCCTCCCAAACTCTCTCCTAAGGGTGCCAGGCTTCAGCAGGTGCTCTAACCAAATAACCTAGGGCCATCCTAGACTTGCTTTGCTGATGCCCCATGTCTGAGCCGTCAAGCGCTTCAGAAAACCTTCAAGAAAAATCCCAAATCAACCACTTCTCACCAGCCCTCACTACTCCTGCCTTCCTCCACTCCATCAGTGTCTCTTCCTGGGCTACTGCCCTAGATTCCCATTGTTCTCTCTGCCTCTACTCTTGCCCTTGACAATGTAGACACACACACACACACACACACACACACACACACACACACAACCAGCAGCCATAGTCTCCATTTTAAAACATCTATCAGACCACATTCCCTTGCTCAAAATTCCTTCTGCACTTTTCCATCATATTTTTTTAAAAATCCAAACATCAAACAAGGCCTCTGCCCACCTTCCCACCTTTCGCTCCCTGCCCGCCCCCCCTGCTCACCCCAGATCAGATTTCTCACTTGTCCTCAAACATTGCAAGTTCATACCGTCCTCACTGTCTCCCCTCCCTGGAACAGTCTTTCCATAATCTTTGTGTGTTTCACCTCTGACATGACTCAGATCTCTGCTAAAGTGTCAGCGCCTCTAGGAGACCCTGCCTAAAGAAGCCTCTCACTTCACCCTGTCACTCTGCCCCCTTTTCCTGCTTTAGTTTGTATAGAGCTCATGAGTATCAGAAATAATGATTTACTCATTGACACTTATTCCGTCTCCCCCAATATAAGGTAAGCTCCACAA